GAAAGAGAAAGCTAGAAAGCATCTCCTAAGGGGGATAGCATGTCACCATGCCTTCTCCTTCATTCTCCTCTTGGAATTTTGGGCATGGGCATACTAGCACAAGCGCCCAGTATGATTTTCAAGCTGTCTGGTCTGGAAGTTGAACTGCACAGTTGGCCATGTGGAATCCAGCTGCCTTAACCACCATGCCACCAGCTGGACATCAGCCTTTATTTTGTTGAGGGTTCTTAGTCCTATTGGATAAGCTATGCTGGGTGACTAAAAGGTTATTGATATAAGTTTACTGTCAATAAATAACTGAAACAGTGTTTTCATTTTACATCCATCCTTCATATCTACATCACTACCTTAACTGCTCTTCCTGATAATGTAGATTTTAACACACTTGCATGTTTTATAACTGGTCTTGGAAATTAACAATGCAAAGGTATCTCTTTTTCAGCTCAGTACCCACAGTGCCTATGATATTCCTTGTCAAGGAGTAGGACAACAAAGTTAGCTTATTGAATATATATTCTGAGTATAGTCTACACATATGACATATATGCATTAATCAACTGACTTAATATGGTCTGAGAATCAGCGATGACTTCAAATATGGCAGAGTAACATTTTCAGTGATTGTCTGCATTACTCTGGGGGATTTGTTCACCAGGAGATGCATCTACCCATTGAAGTGTGGAATCTTTGTGCCCACTTGTAAGTTTATTCATTGGAATACATTATTTAGTATCCTAGTCTATGTCATTTCATTGTATCATCTTGCAATTTTAGCTTAAACATTTCCAGAGCTGTTTAAAAATATGACTCTTTCCATTTTTGCAACAAACAACACTTTTAAGGTGTAAAATTTCTTGTCAAAACAAGAAAATGTCATATCTGTATTTATTATGTCATCAATTTCTTTACATCTTCATAATCCAAGATATCTTTATCATCAATTTCTTCCTATTTTTTGGTATTCCAAGGCCTCATTAATCTTCTCATTCAAAAGGTGATTTAAATAGAGTTTGAATTTCTAGTATTTCTTCTGGGAATAGATACATTAGATTCAAGATCCCAAGTTATACCTGAAAAAATATACAAAGAAACTTCAAACATTACTGGAATATGAGGTTAACGACACATAATTATAATCTGCATTTAGAAGAGTTCTCCAGGTGACTCATGTACATTGGATATTGGAGATATTCTGGTCTAGAGTAGTCTCTCAGCCTCCCCAGTGTTAACATCCTGGTTGGATGACTGTGGTGAGAGCTCTGGTTTGCATTATAATACGTTACACAGTATCCCAGGCTTCAACCCACTGGGTACTACCAGTAGCACCTCCTATTTATGATAATAGAAATTTCCACAAGCATTGCAAAATTCCTCCTGGAAGCATAATCATCCTGCTTGAGGACCATTGGCCTGGAGTAAAAGGAATATAAATATTTTCAAAAAATGATTGTATCGTTTCTGTTTCTTGTTTTGTTTTGTTTTGAGAGATTTTTGCTATAAGGCATGTGTGCTCACCAGAAAGAGAGAGCCAGAGAGACATAAATGAGAAATCACCCCCCCCCAGGGGGGATGGCCATGCCACAATCCCTTCTCCTCCATTCTCCTCTCGGGATTTTCATCGTGCACGCACACATGCCCAGTGTGATTTCTAAGCCATCAGGTCCAGGACTTGAACCACCATCAACCATGTAGGATTCCAGCATCTTAAGCACCACACCACCTAGTGAGCCTGATTCCCCTCTTGCTACTACCTGATCTTCCTCGTGGACACTGCTCTTCTTTGCATTGTAGTAGGCAGTGTTCTTGTCTCCACGCATTAAATATCCATAGCACCTTCCCAGTGGTGATAACCAGAAGTTTCACCAGACATTGCCAAGTGTGTCCCGAATACACAATCACTTTGCTTAAGAGCTACTAGCCTAGGGCATAAGACCTGAAAACTTCTTTATGGAATTCCAAACAAAGCCCATCCCTTACTCAATTCCTAACTTTGGGCAGATTACACAACATAACTTCTAATTTCTGCAAAGATAGGACAAGTTCCTAATGATAGTGACCTCCTATATTGGCCATATGTAAAATCAAATGATACAGGGACCAGCAGGTGCTGTAATGGTTAAGGCACTGGACTCCCATATGGCCGACCATGGATCAAGTCACAGACCTGATGGCTTGAAATTCACGCAGGCACAACTGCTGGCTTTTATAGCACAAGATTTTATAGCAGACCAACATGGTTCTCTCCCTCAATGAAGAGGAAATAGCTTTTGCAGTGGCTGGCTGGAGCTGTATCTTCAACTGAGTACTTTGGAGATTCAGGGAAACTAGCGAAGGCAAGTACTTTGGAGCACAGTTGAACTCAGGTTGGCAAAGGTGCTAACATCAATCTCTAGAGGAAGGGGAGTTCACAGAGGGAAGGATAAAGATGGAATTCAACTGATGTCTAACCTGGACTCATGGGAAAAAGCAACAAGCAGGAAAATGTTTCTTTCTGCCCAGACCAGGGTCTACATGGGAAATCAAGTAGCCTGGGTTCAGAGTAACAAGAAAAAAATGTACCAAATGTGCAGATAAAATGGGCTGTAAATATCGCTCCTATTTTCATCAGAGTTTGCAGCCTTGAGTTGGCTGGAACATGGTTGCTGCTTTTGCAATGCTAAGTCAGATTACAGGACCAACGCTTCGTTCTGTCCTTTTATCCTACAGGGAACAGAGCTTCAATCTTCATTATTTAGACCCCTGCAAAGGAATGTAGATGCCTAAAGAAAAAAGATATTTTCAGAGACTTCACCCAGGTGAGTCTGAAAGCCTGGAAAAAAAGGTTCAAAGAGAATGGAATCAGAGAATGTTTGTCAGAGGTCACCTGAGAGCCCAATAAAACTAGCCCAGAGCCCAAAGATCACTGTGTTTGCTTGGAGGATGCATTTGTAATGGATTTATTTATTATGTTAAAAATAGAAGTGTCAGAACCAGCACATGTTGTGGTGCTTAAAACCCAGGACTCAGACATGGCCCACTACAGTTCGAGTCTCAAATCTAGGGTTTCAAAATCACACCAGGTACATGTGCATGCATGCCCAGGAACCCAGAAGACTGTAGGAGAAGGAATTGCAGTGTGGTCATCCCCTCTCAGGAGATGGAGGTGGTTTCTCTTATTCTCTCTCTCTCTCTATCTTCCTCCCTCCCTTTCTAGTGAGTGCACTTGTCCTATTGCAAAAAATAATTAAAGTGTCTCATTGCTAATGGCCTTTCAGCTAGCATCAAGTGGCATCTGTTCTAATCAGTTTAATATCTAAAATGTCCTCTATCTGAGGACAGTATATTAAATCAATTTTTGAAGCAGGGAGACGGAATGGGATCTTGCTTCATCCAACCCATGTATTGACCTGGTATTTCTGTACTTCCAGGGGTGTTACATGCCCTTGGCGGGATTAAAAAGAATAACCCAGGGGTCAACAGGTGGCATGTTTTTTTAGGAGCTGGACTCCCATATGATCTAGTGCAGTTCAGGTCCTGGACCCAATGGCTTGCAAATCACACCAGACATGTGTGCATGGATGCCCCAAATCCTGAGAGTACTTAGAAGGAATTACAGTGTTTTTTTCAGCTCATTCTCCCATCTTCTAATAGGGTTGATCATCGTTTTTCGGGACAGTTGCTTGAGGTTTTGGACAGTTGCTTGTGTATTCTGGTTAATAGCCTCTTATCTGATGCATAGTTTACAAAAATATTTTCCCATTCTGAGGGCTGTCAATTCACACTAATTACTGTGTCTTTTGCCATGCAGAAACTTCCCAATCTGATGTAATCCCACTTGTCTAATTTGGGGATTTTTTTTTTTTTTAACAGAGGTTTTTGCTATAGGGCACATGCACTCACCAGAAAAACTGAGAGACAGAAAGTGAGAAATGGTCCCCCTTGGGAGATGGCCATGCCACAATCCCTTCTCCTCCATTCTCCTCTCGGGATCTTGGGTATGCACACACACGCACCCGGCGTGAGTTTAAGCCACCGGGTCCAGGACTCAAACTGCATTCGACTACATGGGAGTCCAGCGACATAGTCATTATGTCAACTATTGGTCCCAATTTTTGGGATTATTGACTGCAAGATTTAAAAGAAAAAAACCCTCTACTTTCAGGATCAGCAATTGGCATAATGGCTATGCAGCTGGACTCCCATGTAGTCAACTGTGGTTCGAGTCCTGGACCCAATAGCTTAAACTCACACTGGGAGCACGTGCATGAATTTAGGGGGAATATAAAGCATTTTCCACCTGGGTCATCAGAAAAGTCATGATGCATCTTTCAGAAGATATCAGGATCTGTCTATGTACAAGTCAGTGGTTTGGTCTTCAAAGCAAACTAACAAAGATAGGTATCTTAGACTCCAGGGGAAATTTTAATTTTTGCAAAAGTACTGGCAAGATGACAGGTCTATAGATAGCAGAATCTCCAGAGAAGGAACAATAAAGACTACACTTACTTGACATCTAACTCGGTCCCTTGGGAACAGAGAATCAACAGGAAAATTTTCCTTTCTGAGCCGACTGTGTCTCACAGGGAAATCAGGTGCTCAGGGATTGTACTAACAAGATAGAAATATACCAAGTAAGCAAATCTAGGGAAATGTAAGGATCTCTTTTGTTCTTGTCTACCAGAGTGTGCAGCCTTGAGTTGAGTGAGAAGATGATGATGTCCTAAGGGTGGCTAAAGTATTGGTGCATGACAACATGCTGCTGTCTTGTCTAGGAACAGAACTTTAGTCTCTATCATCCACAATCCAGGGATGAGTTCAGACCTTCACATGGAGATCTTCTTGTCAGAGACCCCATCCAGGTGAGTCTTAGAACCCAGTAAGCAATGCAGAAAATGTTCACAGAGAATGGAAATTGAAAGTATTTTTCTGTCTTAGCAATTGTGAATAGTGCCACAATAAACATCAACATGCTGTTGAAGATATTTTATAGTTTTATCAACTAGACTAGGGAGAAATGTTCACATATTGAAATATTCACTTTGCAAGCTAAAGAATGTGATTGAATGCATAAAAGAAAAGGAAATTTAATAAAAAAGGAAAAACAAAAGAAAATATTTTTCTGAAATATTTCAGAGATCAACCAGCCTTGCCCAGAGATTGCTTTGTTTATTTGCTTGGCTGTTATGTTAATTTGTAATTAATTTATGTTATTGGTTAAAAAGTGAAGCTTTGGGACCAGCAGTTGGGGTAATGGCTATGTCGCTGGACTCTCATGTAGTCGATCATGGTTTGAGTCCTAAATCCAGTCGCTCGAACTAACACCGGACGCATGTGCATGAGTGAGTGCCTAAGATCCCAAGAGTAAAATGAAGGAGAAGGGATTGTGGCTTGGCCATCCCCACTGAGGGGTGATTTTGTGCTTTCTACCTCTGTATCTTTCTGTCTTTTTGGCAAGTCCTGGCACCCTGTAGCAAAAACCTGCAAAAAAATAGGGAAGTTTTTACAGCCAGAAGGTGGTGTGGGGGTTAATTAACACAGCTGGATTCCACATGAGCCATAGAGCAGTTTGATTCCTGGACCTGGAGTGCCCTCCAGGTACATGTGTGTGTACACAAAATCTCAAGAGGAGACTGGAGGATACAGGAGAAGGCAATATTGCAGTGTGCCTATCCCCACTGGAGGGCAATAATTCACTATGACCCCTCACCCCATCTCTCTCAGGCAAGTGCACAGGCACTATAGTAAAACAAAACGAAAATGTCTTTTAATCTCTGCAATGCATGGGCCATTGTTGACAAGTAAGTGATGAGCTTTTAAGTATAACTGGATGACACAGAACATAAACTGGGAGGAGAAACGTAGTTCTACTCAAGTTAGAGCATACCAAGGAGATTTACAATAAGCGGGACCTTGGAGTATTTGGTGTGAAAGGATGTGCACTGAGATGTTGACATTTTTATTGAATCTTTTAAGATGAGCTATATTTGAGCATCCTTCTGTAGTCATTATGAAGATCAGAAAGAAATGCTTTCAAATAGTCCCTTGCCAGAACAGTTCATCATAGATATTTACCAGTATTTTATCTCCTATCTGGTATTAAAAATAAATAAATAAATAAATAGTTTGAATTGAAGTATCAGAGGGGAGAATTAACTAGCTTTACAATGCAACAATTTCTTTGGTGCTGATGCTGAATTTATTTAGGCTTTTGCTAGTCTTTTTATTTTTGTGTGTATGCAAGTCATCTTTGTAAGTTATGTTTTTCTTTCTTCCCCAGGGCTTCAAGAGCATTTCACCAGTGTTACATCTGATTGAGCTGGTGAGTCTCTCTTTATTCTAATCTCTCGGAGTCACCTAAGTCTATCAGATCTCTTTCCTCTATCAGATCTGTTTCCCTCTCAGCACGTTTCATCTCTCTCTGCTTCTTGTTTTACATCTTTTTAAATACAGAGCACAGAATGGCCACTTCAAAATGCAGCTCCAAATTTACATGTCTATGGGAATCTTTGCAAATAAAATCTTGCTGGTGGATCCACATTCTCACATGGCTACATACACAGAGAATGCGACAGCTGGGAATGAGGAACCTTAAGTCCTCAAGTTACTGCATCAACAAGCCCCCTCCTTCCTCAACATGCCCTGAAATCTCACCTTTCTCCCTTTTCCTCTTTGCCTCTGCAAGTTGTTCACTTCCCAGATCCCTTTGCAGCTCCCACCCTATCTTCCCTTGGGACTCTATTCAAAGGTTGCCTGGTCTGTCACTTGCGCTATCTACCCCCAAGAAAAAGCACTCATGTATACTCTCTCCTATCTATATAATTTCATGCACTTCAGAGCACTTGTTAATATTTCATACATAACATCATTCATGTTTTTAAAGGTATGGAGGAGATTCTATTTCACTTTGAGAGGCTTTACTTTCACAATATATGTACCCTTGGCACAGAAAATGTTATTAATGTTTTGCAAATTGTTTAATAAGTTAAATATTTAGGTTGATATTTATGAAACTTTTAGACATTAAATAGGAGAAAGTAATGGCTATCTGCATTTGCATATATGATCACAATCAAAATGATAAAATAAAGCAAAGAATAAAGCTTAACACCCTCCAAACGTAGTAAGTTGCAATTTTTTTGTTCTTTTTCATAAATTATGGTAGTGCTTTTTTTCTCGTATTTTATTATTTCTTTTACCTTCAATCGCTGTACATCATTACATCATAAGATTAATTTTCCCAGCATAAATACAGTGTATATCAGTCCAATCAAAGATATTACCATATATAATATGGAATGATAATTTTCATTTTTGTGAATTAATGGCTATCTGAATTTGCATATGTGATATTTTTCCTTAAGAAGCATGTATTTCCTTCCACATATCTTTCCTTAACAGTTTCTCTTCTTTCCTTCCCCCTTGATTCCCTCCCTCTCAATCTCTCCCATTTCTCACCCACTCCCTCCCACACTGTCTCTAGTATCCACAGTTGTTCTCCATGCTTTTGTACCTCCCAATCTTTTAGTTTATGCCATAGAGTGCAGACATTCCATATATATTAAGCGGGGACATACAATGCCTCTCTTTCATAGTCTGGCTTGCTTCACTTAGCATTGAATCTTTCCTATTCACCCACTTTCTATCAAATGTCAGGTCTCGTTTTTTTAATGACTGAGTGGTAGTACATAATGTTAATTTGCCACATTTTTTCAATCCATTCAACTGTTCTTGGCCATTTGTATTGCTTCCTTATTGTCACAATGTTTTTCTGACTGGGTGTATTCCTATCTATGGGTAGATACCCAGGAGTGGAATTGCTGGAGCATATGGTAATTCCGATTGTAGGTTCCTGAGGAACCTTTATATTGTTCTCCACTGAGGCTGAACTAATACACAATCTCATGAACCATATTTAGAGCTCACTTTTCACCACAGCATAACAGGCACTTCTCACTACTTTTTTTTTCCCTTTTTTTGGAGAGATTTTTCTATAGGGCACGTGCGCTCTCCAGACAGACAGAGAGAGACAAAGAGACAGAAAGTGAGAAATCACCCCCCTGGGGGGATGGCCATGCCACAATCCCTTCTCCTCCGTTCTCCTCTCAGGATCTTGCACACGCACACACACGAGCCTGCGTGAGTTTAAGCCACTGGGTCTGGGACTCGAACCGTGGTCGACTACGTGGGAGTCCAGCGACATAGCCATTATGCCAATTGCTGGTCCCCTTCTCATTACTTTTTTAAAAAAGGTTTTTGTTTTTGCCCTAGCATGTGTGCACTCATTGGAGAGAGAGACAGACAGACAGTGAGAGAGAAAGTGAGAAATAACATCCCAGAAGGATTGTCACACCATAATCCTTTCTCCTCCATTTTCCTCCCAGGATATTGGGCACACACACAAACACAAACACACACACACACACACACACACACACACACACACACACACATGCATCCATCATAGTTTTTAAGCAACTGGACCCAGGACCTTAACTGTGGTTGGCCAAGTGGGAGTCCAGTGACATAACCTCTGCACCATCTACTCTCCCTGCACCTATTATTCTTTATTAACCTTAATCCTTCTGACCGGGGGTTAATTTCTAATGAAACATTTGTTCCTATTCTATGATTATTTCTTTATCAGCACATTATTCCTAATTATCAATAGACTGTGCTTATTTTAGTTTCTAAAAGATTACACTCATTTTCCAGATTTTCCTGGAACAAGGGGCAGCTCTCAAATTATATGACTCAAATGGACAAAAGAATTTCTAAATACACATGTGGAATTTGTGACCTCTTGTGGAAAGGTTGAGAATGAGACAGGAATTCCTAACTAGAGATAGCTCGTACAGAGAGATATAGAAAAGGAAGACATACCAACAAGAGACAGGTAAATTACTTTATTCACTGAAAAACATAAATTGAGCTACTTTATTATAACTCTGTGAGTAATAGCTTTTTGAGTGAAATTTAGTCATTTTATCTTTCTTTTTCCTAGTCACCTCTACACATGGAATCAGGGAATGATACAAAAAATTTGAAATTTCTTCTTCTTGGATTATCAGAGGAACCAGAATTGCAGCCCCTCCTATTTGGGCTCTTCCTCTCCATGTACCTGATCACTGTGTGTGGAAACCTGCTCATCATCCTGGCCACCATCTCAGACTCCCACCTGCACACCCCCATGTACTTCTTCCTCTCCAACCTGTCCTTTGTAGACATCTGTTTCACCTCCACCACCGTCCCAAAGATGCTGGCGAACATCCAGACACAGAGCAAGGTCATCACCTATGCAGGCTGCATCACCCAGATGTTCTTTTACATAGTCTTCATACTGTTGGATGGCGTCCTCCTGACTGTGATGGCCTATGACCGGTATGTGGCCATCTGTCACCCCCTTCACTACACCATCATCATGAATCCTCAGTTCTGTGTGTTGTTGGTTCTTGGGTCTTGGATCACAAGTGTCTTGCAATCCTTGCTCCAAAACTCAATGGTGTTGTGGCTGTCCTTCTGTCCACATACCCAAATCCCTCACTTTTTCTGTGAATTTATTCAGGTGTTGCACCTTGCCTGTTCTGACACCTTTATCAATGACATTGCTGCATATATTGGAGCTATACTGCTGGGTGGTGCAACCCTTACTGGAATCCTTTACTCTTACTGTAAGATAGTTTCCTCCGTACGTAAGATCTCATCAGCTCAGGGGAAGTACAAAGCCTTTTCCACCTGTGCCTCTCACCTCTCAGTTGTCTCCTTATTTTACTGTTCATTTCAAGGAGTGTACCTTAGTGCTGTTGATAATCAAAATTCACACTCAAGTGCAGCAGCCTCGGTGATGTACATTGTGGTCACCCCCATGCTGAACCCCTTCATCTACAGTCTGAGGAATAAAGACATAAAGAGGGCTCTGAGAAGACTCATTGGGAAGGAAACCAGCATAGAATGAACTTTCCTGGTACCAAAAAAAAAAAAAAATTGTCCTCATTAGCAAGGCTCACAGTTTAAATTCAGAAATGCTGATAATCTAATTATAGTTCAGAAGTAGAACTTGTTCCTTCCAATCATCTTCAATGAGTTTCCTAACTTTGATTAAACATCGCCACACAATAAAAAAAAATCATCCTATTAAGCTTTGTGGTCTAATAGCATTTTTCCCCTTTGTTCCTTTTTTATATTTCTACAAGTTTATCCTAATTATAGATCAGAAATATTTGGAAACACTCAATAATTTTATGGAATAACATGAATTTCTGATGAATATTTTTTCCCAAATGAAATATATCAAGTAATTATTCTATTTTCTAATTAAAATAATCCTGTGTTTTTCTTCCATTATAGGAACCAAAAAAGTACACTTGGCAACAATGACCCATTATTTGATTGTATAATACCAGAAAATCTGACTAGAATTTTCCAATTTTTTGTGTGCATCATTCTTTGTGGGTTTTTTCCTATGATTTTTTCTTTAATTTTATGTAGCATTTTTTTGCCTCATATTAATTAATTAATTAAGTTAGTTTTTTACATTCAATCACTGTATATCATTACATTTTACCAAATGAGATTTCTCATTGTGAATACATTGCATATGGGTTTATTCAAAGAAATTACTACACATGTCAGGATCAACAGATAATTTTCCATTTTTATGTTCCTTAAATATTTTGCTTCTTTCCTTTTTCCTTCATTCCCTCCCTCCACTCTCTCCCATATCCTTCCCTCTTCCTGCACTGTCTCTATGTTTTTAAACCTTCCCATCTTTCAGCTTCTGCCATAGAGTACTGACATTCAGTATGTATTGAGTGGAGACTTAATGTGCCTCTCTTTCATAGTTTGGCAACTGGCTTGCGTTGCATAGCAGTCAATCTTCCATATATTTCACTTTCTATCAGATGCCAGAGTCTCATTTTTTTAACAGCAGTATAATGTTCCATTGTGTATATGTGCCACACTTTTTCAATCCATTCATCTATTTGTGGACATTTGGGTTGGTTCCATATCTTAGCAGTTGCCACAATAAACATGAATGTGCAAGTCAGAAAATCACTTGCACATCCTTCCTTGTTATATCACTACTTTAATTGTTCCTAATACAGCGTTTAACACATTGATTTGTTTTATCATTTCTCATCTGTGGGGTTTTTTCTCTCTGTTTCTTCTTGAGCCCTGTGACTACAGTGCCAATGTAACTATGCAACTACACTTGCAAAAATAAATACTATCCATACATCCTCTCCTTTAGGAGATCACATTGTACTAGCTCTCCATCTTGTCCTTTATAGATATTTCTTTTACCTTCAACATCGTTCCAAAGATGTGCGTGAATACCTGGACAGATAACAAATACAGAACTTAAGAAGGCTGTATCACCAAGATGTTCTTTTTCATACTCTTTGAAGGGGTAAAGAACTTTCTCCTGACTATAATGGCCTAGGACCACCATGTGGCCACTATCACCTCCTGCATTCTACAGTTATCATGAACTTTCTTTTCTGAGAACTGCTACTTCTGTTGTCTTGGATTATGAGTGTTCTGCCTTTGTTGTTACATAATTTAATGGTTTAGTGACTGTTCTTCTATGTACACTTAAAAAGCTCCTATTGGGGCTAGCAGATCATGTAGTTATTAAGGCACTAGAGACTCCCACATGGCCCAATGCACTTTGACTTCTGGACCTGGTGACTTAAAATTCTTGCTGGGTACATGCCCAAATTCTTGTGTGTGCATGCCCAAAATTCCAGGAGGAGAATGGAGGAGAAAGATTTGCAGCATGATCATCCCCACTGAAAGGTAATTTCTCATTTGACCTCTCACTGTCTCATTCTGTTTCTCTCCTCTCCAGTGAGTACACACATTCTATGATTTTTTTTTCATTCTCTCATTTCTTATTTAAATTTCTATAGATATTCCACCTTTTCTCTTTAGACAGCTCTTTCAATGACATGGTCATGTAATTTGCATCTGTGTTTTGGAGGCATGGAACCCTCCCTGGAATCCTTTACTCTTATTCTAAGATAGTTTCCTCCATATGAACAATCTCATCAGCTCAGGGGAAGTACAAAGCATTTTACACCTGTGCCTTTCACTTCTCAGTTGTCTTCTTATTTCACTTTACAATCCTAGATGTGTGTCTTATTGATGGCACTACCCACATTTCACAGACAATGAAGCAGCCTCTGTAAGAACACTGTAGTCACCCCATGCTGAATCTATTCATGACCAATGATATGATTCAAGTACTAGATCCAGGGGATTGAAAAGGGATTGGTTGAGTCCTGGACCTGGTGTTTGCATTCTCAATTTTCCTCTCTGTCTTTCTTGGGTGAGTGTGTGTGCTCTATAGCAAATTTAATAATAGTAATAATGAATACTTCTTAAAAAATTTAAAAAGGGCCGGCAAGTGGTGTATTCATTAAAGATGCTGGATTCCACATGGCCAACTAGTGTTTGAGTTCCAGACCTGGTGGTTTGCTAACTAACCCTCTCTCCCTGTTTCTCTTTGGTCAAATTAAAATAAATAAATAAATACATACATACATACATACATACATCTAAATGAAATAACTCTTAAAAAAAAAAAAGAAAACAAAACAAATTACACTGGGCGTATGTGCACGCATGCCCAAAATCCCAAGAGGATCATGAAGAGAGTAGGGCTTGCCATATGGTCATCCTCATGAAGGGATAATTTTTCACTTTTCCTCCTCTCTTTCTGCCTCTCTTTGGTGAGTGCACAACCACCTAGATAAAAATCTAAATAATAATAATAATATTATCATCTGTAAAAAACAACAAGGCCCTGGAATTTGAAAGAAAGAAGATGAATATGGAAGATTTGTTGCTGAGTGAAGCAAGTCAGGCTATGAAAGAGAGACATTGTATGTCTTCACTTAACATATACCAACTGTCCACACTCTATGGTAGAGACTGAAAGACTGGAGGATATAAAAGCATTAAGAATTGTTGTGGATGCTAGAAACAAAGTGGAAAGAGAGTGTGAGAGGGGAAGAGTGCAGGAAAGGAAATTACGGAAAAAATAAGGAGAGATAAGATATTGTGGGGCACAGATATGGTTTGTTATCTGTTTAGGAGAATGTGCATAGTATTCTCAACTGGACTGAGATGTGTATCATGCTGGGTAAAGTCTCTTTACAATCTAAATGCTGTATAGTGATTGAATGTATAAATAATAATAGTAATAATAAAGTGTAAAAATCATTATTATAATAATAAAAGAAAATAGCAGAAGTTCCCAAAACAAAAACCATGTTCCATCCAGTACAAGATTGAATATTCTGAATAAATAGAAGAGATAGGAGATGGCAAGTGGTGTGGTGGTTAAGGGCACTGTACTCCCACATATCAGGTCCCCTGGTGACTTGCTTTCTTGCTTTCTCTCTCTCTGTCATCAAATTAAAAAATAACAGAAATGATAAATAGCTGTCTTTATCTGCTCATTTGTCACATCTCCCTCTTGTTCTCCAGTTTTGTTTTCTTTTTTAAGAATTTTTTGCCATCTCATATGTGCACTTGTTGGAGAGAGACAGTGAGAGGGAAAGTGAGAAATCACCCCCATGGAAAATGGTCACCCTGCAATCCCACTGCTTCTTGGATTTTCAGCAAACAAACACAGTTGCCCAGCATAATTTCTAAGCCACCAGGTTTGGGATTTGAACCAGTACCAGCCATGTTAAGGGAGTCCGGTTTCTTAATCATCATGCCCTGCCCACCCTAATTTCCTTCTTGCTACTCTAAACTCAGACTACCTGACCTTCCTTGTGGACACTGCTCTTCTGTGAATTGTAGAAGGCAGTATCCTTGTGTCCACCCACCAAGATCCAGTAGCACATCCCAGTGGTGACAACCAGAAGTTTCACCAGACAACATTGTCAAGTGTCTTCTGAGGGAACAGTCACTCTGCTTGAGAACTACTAGCCTAGGGCGTAAGACTTGAAAATCTCTTTATGAATTCCAACCAAAGCTCATTCCTTATTCAATTCCTAACTTTGAGCAGATCACACAACATAACTTATAACTTTTGCTAAGGTAGGACAAGTTCCTAACAGTATTGGCCTCATATATCGGCCATGTGTAAAACCAAATGATACAGGGGCCAGCAGGTGGTGTAAAGATTAAGGCACTGGACTCCTACGTGAACGACCATAGTTATAGCCCAGACCTGATGGCTTGAAATTCACGCCAGGCACAACTGCTGGCTTTTGTAGCACAAGGTTTTATAGCAGACGAATGAAGAGGAAATAGCATTTGCGGTGGCTGGCTGGAGCTGTATCTTCAAATAGTGAGTACTTTGGAGTTTCAGGGAAACTAGTGAAGGCAAATACTTTGGAGCACAGTTGAACTCAGGCAAAGGTTCTAACATGGAACTCTAGAGGCAGGGGAGTTCACAGAGAGGGAAGGATAAAGACGGAATTCAACTGATGTCTAACCTGGACTCATGGGAAAAATCAACACGCAGGAAAATGTTTCTTTCTGCCCAGACCAGGGTCTACATGGGAAATCAAGTAGCCTGGGTTCAGAGTAACAAGAAGGAAATGTACCAAATGTGCAGATAAAAGGGGCTGTAAATATCGCTCCTATTTTCATCAGAGTTTGCAGCCTTGAGCTGGCTGGAACATGGTTGCTGCTTTTGCAATCCTAAATTGGACTACAGGGCCAATGCTTCACTCTGTCCTTTTGTCCTGCTGGGGACAGAGCTTCAGTCTTCATTATTTAGACTCCTGCAAAGCAATGTAGATGCCAAAATTAAAAAACATATTTTCAGAGACTTCACCCAGATGAGTCTGAGAACCCGACAGAAAAGGTTCAGAGAGAATGGTAACTGAGATTGTTCGCCAGAGGTCACCTGAGAGCCCAATAAACCTAGCCCAGAGCCCACAGATCACTGTGTTCGCTTGGAGGATGAATTTGTAATGGATTCATTTAGTATGTTAAAAATAGAAGTGTCAGGGCCAGCAGGTGGTGTGGTGATTAAGGCACTGGACTTCCACATGGCTGAATATAGTTCAAGCCTCAGACCTGGGGGTTTCCAAATCATACTAGGTACATGTGCATGCATGCCCAAGAAATCAGGAGAATGGAGAAGGAATTGCAGTGTGGTCATCCTCTCTGAGGGAGTGGTTTCTCTTTCTCTCTCTCTCTCTCTCTCTCTTCTTCCCTGTCCCTCTCTAATGAGTGCAATTGTCCTATGGCAAAAAAAAATAATTGAAGTGTCTCATTTCTTATTGGCCTTTTGCTAGCATCACGTGACATCTGTCCTCGTCAGTTTAATATCTGACATGTCCTCTATCTGAGGAGAATATATTAAATCAATTTTTGGAGCAGGAAGATGGATTGGGAGCTTGCTTCATCCAACCCATGCATTGACCTGGTATTGCAGAACCTCCAGGAGTGTTGCATCCCTCTTTGAGGGATTAAAAAGAATTACCTGGCGATCAGCAGGTGGTATGGTGTTTAAGGAGCTGAACTCCCATATGGCTGAGTATATTTCAGGTCTCGGACCCAGTAGTTTGAATATCACACCAGACATGTGTCCATGTATGCCCCAAATCCTAAGAGTAGTTAGAAGGGATTGCAGCATGGCCATCCCCACTGGGCAGTGATTTCTCACTTTCCCCATCACTGTCTCTCTCTCTGACAAGCATATACTCTCAATGGCAAAAAAACTAAAAAGAAAAAAGCATTTTAGACTTCAAAGCTTGGATCGGAATGGAAGATGTGTTTGATAAGACTGAGGAAGGAATAGAAGGGGTAACGGGATTTCAATACATTAGAGCATATTGGGGCCAGCATTCCTCCAAATCAGTTACTCAGTTTTCCTATTCCTTCTTGCAAATTCCCGTGGACATGCTCTGCATCACTAATAGTAATTGTCTTTCATACATTTTACTGTTTATTGGGTTGTCAGATTAGGCATTATGCATTTTTGCATAGAAAAAAAAACAGTATAAAATGTGACATGAATTTTCTGAGAGCTCAATACTTCACATGTTACTCTTATTCCTATTATATTACCTTTCGTAGTTGAATTTTTAAAATAGAAACTGACCTTTCTATCCTTCTGCATTCATCTGAAAATCACTCACTGATCCTCCCTACACTCACTAATTGGACTGCCTATAACACAGCAGACTCTCAATTTGTATTACTCAAATGCATAAAGAAACTTTTCTTAGTAAAATTGTAGAATGGTCAGTCAGTGGCATGGTGTTTAAAGTGACTGGATCCCACATGGCCAGCTGTGTGGTTTGAGCCTTGATTTTGGTAGCTAAAAAAAAATACACAGGGTGTGTGTGTGTGTGTGTGCCCCAAATCCTAAAGAGAGAATGGAAGAAAAGAGACTGTGGCATGGCCCTCCTTCATGGAGGATGTTTTCTCACTTTCTCCCTCTCTTTGTCCTTCTCCAGGAAGCCCATGCACTCTCTGGAAAATTTAAAAATAAACAAATATATATATATATATATTATCTTAGTCATTTGACTGGGGTTACATGATATCTCATTGTGGTTTTGATCTGCATCGTCCTTACAATGAGGGATGTTGAGTATTTTTTTTTTCATATATCTTTTGGCTATTCGTATGTCTTCCTTAGAGAGTGGTTTCATGACTTCATTCTCCCATTTTATAGTAGGGTTGATCATCTTTTTTCGGGACAACTGCTTGAGTTCCTTGTGTATTGTGGCTATCAGTCCCTTATCTGATGCATAGTTTACAAAAATATTTTCCCATTCTGAGGGCTGTCGATTCACACTAATTATTGTGTCTTTTGCCATGCAGAAACTTCTCAATCTGATGTAATCCCACTTGTCTACTTTGGGGTAATTGTGCAAAATTTAAAGGAAAAAAAAAACTCAACTTTCAACTACAAAACTTTTCTTAAGGTATGAAAAAAAGGGTTGCATCACAATTTTAGGGTTTTGAGACAAAAGTGGATTGATTTTATATTATCATATTATAAAGTAACTGAAAATGTAAATAAATAAATAGTAAATGAAAATAAAACTATACAATGCCTGAACTTTTAGGGTTAAGGTTGACAATAAGACAGGAATTCCCAATCTGAGATTGTGTATGAAAGAAGAATCAAACCCTTACCCAAAAGGTAGAAATCAATTTCTTGACTATAAAACATAAATTGTAGCATTTTACCTACGTGAGTTTCATTCTTTTGAGTGAAAACTAGACTTTTCTTTTGCCTGGCAGTTATCTCCACTAAGATAACTTCTTGGAACCAAGAAACAATACAGAAATTTCAAAATTCTTTCTTCTAGAACTTTCAGAGAAACCAGAATTGCAACCATTTCTATTTGGGCTATTCCTTTCCATGTACTTGATCACTTTCTGTGGAAACCGGCTCATTATCCTGATCACCATTTCAGACTCTTACCTTTGCATGCCCATGTCATTCTTCCTCTCCAACCTGTCCTTCATAGACATCTATTTCACCTCCACCACAATACCCAAGATGCTGGTGAACATCCAGACCCAGAGCAAGGTCATCATCTATGCAGGATGCATCACACAGATGAAGTTTTTCATGCTCTTTTCAAGACTGCATATTTTTCTGCTGACCATAATGGCCTTTGACCAGTTTGTGGCCATCTATCACCCCCTGCACTACATGCTTGTGATAAACCATGAGCTCTACGGATTGCTTGTCCTGGAGTCCTGGATCCTGAGTGTCCTGACTTCCTTGTTACCTAGCTTACTGGTGGTGTGGCTATCCTTCTGTACACACTTGGAAATCCACCACTTGTTCTGTGAAATTTTATAGTGGTTCACATTGCCTGTCTTGACACCTTTCTTGAAGACATGATGATGAATTTTACATCTTTATTGGTGGTGGGGAAGTGGAACCATTTCTGGGATCCTTTACTCTTATTCTAAGATAGTTTCCTCTATTTGTACCATCTCGTGAGCTTAGGGGGAATATAAACAATTTTCTACCTGGGTCATCAGAAAAGTCATGATGCATTTTTCAGAAGCTCTCAGGAGCTGTATATATACAAGTGAATGCTTTAGTCTTCAAAGCAAACTAGCAAAGACAGGTATCTTAGACTCTGGGGGACATTTTGATTTTTGCAAAAGTGCTGGCAAGATGACAGTTCTGTAGACAGTAGAGTTCCCAGAGAAGGAACAATAAAGACAGCATTTACTTGATGTCTAGCTTGGTCCCTTGGGAATAGAGGATCAAAACGTAATTTTTCCTTTCTGAGCAGACTGTGTCCCATAGGGAAATCAGGTGCTCAGGGATTGTAGTAACAAGATGAAAATGGGCCAAGTAAGCAGATTTAGGGAGCTGTAAGGATCTCTTTTGTCCTTGTCCACCAGAGTGTGCAGCTTTGGCTTGGGTGTGAAGATGATGATGTCCTAAGGATGGCTTAAGTATTGATGTTTGACACCATGCTGTTGTCTTCTCTGGGAACAGAAATTCAGAGTCCGTTATCCACAATCCAAGGAGGAGTTCAGACCCTCACATGGAGACCTTCTTCTCAGAGACACCATCCAGGTGAGTCTTAGAGCCCTGTAAACAATGCAGAAAAGTTTCACAGGAAATGGAAATCGAAAATGTTTTCTTGAAGTTATTTCAGAGATCAACCAGTGTTGCCCAGAGATTGCTGTGTGTATTTGCTTGGAGATAAATTAATTTGTAATTTATTTATTTATTTGTTAAAAAGTGAAGTTTTGGGGCCAGTATTTGCTGTAATGGCTATGTCACTGGACTCTCATGTAGGAGACCACAGTTCGAGTCCTGGACCCATTGGCTTGAACTAACACTTGGCACATGTGCATGTGTGCCCAAGACCCCAAGAGGAGAATGGAGGATAAGGGATTGCAGCATGGTCATCCCCACTGGGGGGTGATTTTTTGCTTTCTGTCTCTGTCTCTTTCTGTCTTTTTGGCAAGTGCAGGTGCCCTATAGCAAAAACCTGTAAAAAAAAAAAAAAAGTAAACTTTTAGAGCCAGAAGGTGGTGTGGAGGTTAACACAGCTGGATTCCACATGTGCAACTGAGCAGTTTGATTCCTGGACCTGGAGTGCCCTCCGGGTACGTGTGTGTGTGTGTGTGTGTGTGTGTTGTGTGTGTGCACAAAATCCCAAGAGGAGACTGGAGGATACAGGAGAAGACACTATTGTAGTGTTCCCATCCCCACTGGAGGGTGATTATTCACTGTGATCCCTCACCCCACCTCTCTCAGGCAAATGCACACGCCTTATGGTAAAACAAAACAAAAATGTCTTTTAATCTCTGCAATGCATGGGTCATTGTTCATAATTAAGTGATGAGCTTTTAAGTTTACCTGCATGAGACATAAGAAGAACTGGGAGGAAAAACATAGTTCTACTCAAGTTAGAGCATATCACGAAGATTTACTATAAGGGGGAAGGAACTTTTGAGTATTTGGTGTGGAAGAATGTGCACTGAGGTGTTGACATTTTTTATTGAACTTTTAAGACGAGCTGTATTTGAACATGCTTCCATAGTCATTATAAAGATCAGAAAGAAATGCGTTCAAATAGTACCTTGCCACAACAGTTCATGATAGACATTTCCCAGTATTTTCTCTTCTATCGTGTATTCAAAAATAAATAAACAAATGGTTTGAATTTAAGTACCACAGGGGAGATTTAAAGAGATTTACAATGCAACAATATTTTTGATGCAGATGCTGAATTTATTTAGCTTTTTGCTTGTCTTTTTATTTTTGTGTGTATGCAAGTCATCTTTGTAAGTTAATTTTTTCTTTCTTCCCCAGGGCTTCAAGAGCATTTCACCAGTGTTACATCTGATTGAGCTGGTGAGTCTCTCTCTATTCTAATCTCTCTGGGCCACCTACGTCTATCAGATCTGTTTCCCTCTCAGCACGTTTCATTTCTCTCTGCTTCTTGTTTTACATCTTTTTAAATACAGAGCACAGAATGGCCACTTCACAATGCAGCTCCAAGTTTACATGTCAATGGGAAGCTTTGCAAATAAAATCTTACTGGTGGTTCCACATCCTCACATGGCTACATACACAGACGGTGGGATAGGTAGGAAAAAGAAACCCTGAGTCCTCAAGTTACTGCATCAGCAAGCCCCCTCCTTCCTCAACATGTCCTGAAATCTCACCTTTCTCCCTTTTGCTCTTTGCCTCTGAAAGTTGTTCGCTTCCCAGATCCCTTTGCAGCTCAGACCTTATCTTCCCTGGGGACTCTATTTAAAGGTTACCTTGTCTGGCACTTGTGCTGTCTACCCCAAGAATAAGCACTCATGTATACTTTCTCTTATCTACATGATTTCATGCTCTTCAGAGCACTTGTTAATATTTCATACATTACATCACTCTTTTTTGTTTTGAAAGGTATGGAGGAAATTCGATTTCACTTTGAGAGGCTTTACTTTAACAATATATGTATCCTTGCCACAGAAAAATTTATTAATATTTTGCAAATTATTGAATAAAGTAAATATTAAGGTTGATTTTTATGAGGTCTTTAAGACATTAAATAGGAGACAGTAATTGCTATTTACATTTGCATGGATGATCACAATCAAAATGCTAAATTAAGGCAAAGAATAAAGCTTATCACCCTGGAAACCTAGTAAGTTGCAATTTCTTTCTTTTTTTTTTGTAAATTATGGTAGTGGGTTTTTTTTCTCTTATTTTATTTTTTTATCTTCAATCACTGTATATCATTACATTTTACTCATCCTGAGTGGGGTTAATTTCTAATGAAAGATTTGTTCCTATTCTATAATTATTTCTTTATCAGCACATAATTCCTAATTATAAATAGATTGCAATTATTTATTTTCTAAAAGACTTACACTAATTTCCCAGACTTTGCCTGGAACAAGGGTCAGCTCTGAAATTCTATTACTCAAATGAATGAAAGAATTTCTAAATACACGTGTAATTTGTGACCTCTTGTGGAAAGGTTGAGAATGAGACACTAACTGGAGACATCCCGTAGAGAGGAATATAGGAAGGGAAGGCGTACACCATAAAATAGGTAAAATAATTTATTAACTAAAAAACATGAATTGCTCTATGTTATTATAACACTGTGAGTAATAGCCTTTTGAGCAAAATTTAGTCATTTTATCATTCTCTCCCTGATAGACACCTCTACACATGGAACCACAGAATGATACAAGAATTTTGGACTTTCTTCTTCTGGGACTTTCAGAGGAACCAGAATTGCAGCCCCTCCTATTTGGGATTTTCCTCTGCATGTACCTGATCACTGTGTGTGGAAACCTACTCATCATCCTGGCCACCATCTCAGACTCCCACCTGCACACCCCCATGTACTTCTTCCTCTCCAACCTGTCCTTTGTGGACATCTGTTTCACCTCCACCACCGTCCCAAAGATGCTGGTGAACATCCAGACACAGAGCAAGGTCATCACCCATGCAGGCTGCATCACCCAGATGTTCTTTTTCCTACTGTTTATAGTGTTGGATGACTTCCTCCTGACTGTGATGGCCTATGACCGGTATGTGGCCATCTGTCACCCCCTGCACTACACAGTCATCATGCACCCCTGGCTCTGTGTGGTGCTGGTTCTGGTGTCCTGGGTCACAAGTGTCTTATATTCCTTGTTACAGAGTTTAATAGTGTCAAGCCTGTCCTTCCGTACACACACCCAAATCCCCCACTTTTTCTGTGAATTTAATCATGTAGTCCACCTTACCTCTTCTGACACCTTTATTAGTGACATTGTCATGTATTTTGGATCCATACTGCTGGCTGGTGGTCCCTTTGCTGGGATCCTTTACTCTTACTATAAGATAGCTTCCACCATACGTAAAATCTCATCTACACAGGGGAAGTACAAAGCATTTTCCACCTGTGTCTCTCACCTTTCAGTTGTCTCCTTATTATATGGTACGAGTGTAGGAGTGTACCTCAGTAAGGCTGATAGTCAAAATTCACACTCAAGTGCAGCAGCCTCGGTGATGTACACTGTGGTCACCCCCATGCTGAACCCCTTCATCTACAGTCTGAGGAATGAAGACATAAAGAGGGCTCTTAAAAGACTCACTGAGAGGAAAACTATTGTAGAATAAATTGTCCTGGTACTGAATCAGTGTCCGTGTTAGGATTCACAGCATCAGACTCAGAAATGCTGACAATCTGATTATAATGAAAGTAGAACTTGCCCCTTCTAATCATCTCCAGGATCTTACATGACTATGATTTCAATTTCTTTATACAATTAAGAACATTACCTTAGTAAGTTTTGTGCTCTGTCTGATAGAAAGTTTCTCCTTTGTTCATTTTTGCTTTACACAAGTTTATCCTACTCATAGTTCATAAATACTTGAAAATCCTCAGAAAATGCATGGAACAACATGAATTCCTGTTGAATAATTTCTTCTCAAGTTAGATACACCAACTAGTTTTACTTTTTTCGATTAAAAAAGACCAACCAATGGCAAAATGGTTAAATCACTGGACTCCCATGTAGTTGACCACTGTTCAAGTTCTGAATAGGGCAAATAGAAATTACTCTGGACACACATGTGTGTGTGTGCTCAAAATCCTGAGGGAAGAATGGAGAAAAAGATATTGTGGCATGGCCATCCCCTCTGGGGGATGATTTCTCACTTTTATTGTGGCATGGCCATCCCCTCTGGGGGATGATTTCTCACTTTATATCTCTCTGTCTCTCTCTGCCTCTGCAGCAAACACAAACACCTTATAGCAAAAGTCTCTCAAATAATAATAATTATTATTATTATCTTATATTGTACTTCCATCATAGGAACAAAATAAGTACACTTGGAAATATGGTCAATCATATGTATAATACATGAAATTCTGACACCAGAATCTTCCAGGATTTTGTCCATCCTTCCTTGGTATGTCATTACAAGAATTGGTTCCTAATATAGGGTTTAATACACTGATTTGTTTTATTGTCTGTCATCTGCATTCTTTCTCACATTTATTATTCTATTTCTTCTTGAGCTCTGTGTCCCAAGTGCCTATGTAGTCACTGGCAAAAATAAAATAATTATTCTCTACAGACCGCCTCCTCTGTGTGCCCAAGTACTGCTTCTCTTCCACCTTGTTTTTCATAGACATTTCTTTCACCTCCACCACCATTCCAAAGATGTTGGTGAATATCCAGGCACAGGGCAAAGCCATAGCTTGAGAAGGTTGCATCACCCAGAGGTCTCTTTCCATACTCTTTGCAGGGGTAGACAACTTTCTCCTGACTGTGATGGCCTAGGACCAGTATGTGGACATCTGTCACCCCCTGTGAGTTCTGTCATCATGAACTCCCACTCCTAAGGACTGCTTCTTCTGTTGTCCTGGATTGTAAATCTCCTGACTTTGTTCCTATATAATTTAATTGTTTTGTGGCTATTCTTCTAGACACACCAAAAAAGCTCCCATTAAGGCCAGCAGGTGGAATAGTGGTTAAAGTACTGGATTCCCACTTGGCCCACCATGGTTCAAGTCTTAAGCCCCAAATTCCAGGAGGATAATGGAGTAGAAAAGATTGTAGGATGGCCATAATCCTTGGTGGGTGATTTCTCATTTTCCCTCTCACTAGTCTCTGTCTATCTCCATTCTGTCAAGTGCACATGCCTTAAAAAACCTTAACAAAAATAAGCCCCTATTTTTTCTGTGAATGTATATAGATGGTCCAACTTACCTGTTCTTCACTTCTTTCAATGACATGGTCATGTATATTTTGTCTGTGTTTTGGAGGGGAGCAACCCTCACTGAAATCCTTTACTCTTTCTGTTGAATAGTTTCCTCCATATGAAAGTCACACTGAACTGGACCAGTAAGTATCATAGCGGTTAAGGTGCTAGACCCCCACATGGCTGACCATATGCCTTCCTTAGAGAATTTTTTTTAAACTCATTCTCCCATCTTCTAATAGGGTTGATCATCTTTTTCCAGGACAAATGCTTGAGTTCCTTGTGTATTCCGGTTATTAGTTCCTTATCTGATGCAAAGTTTACAAAATTATTTTCCCATTCTGAGAGTTGTTGATTCACACTAATTACTGTGTCTTTGCCATGCAGAAACTTCTTAATCTCATATAATCCCACTTGTTTACTTTTGGGGTAATAGTGAAAAAAATTAAAGAAAAAAACTCAAATTTCAGCCACAATGAAGTTCTTAATGTATTTAAAAAAAAAAAAAAAGACTGTGTCACAATTTTAGGGTGTTGAACCAAAAATGGACTGATTTTGTATTATCACATTATAAAGTAACTGAAAATGTAAATAAATAAATAAATACATATAAAACTATAGAGTCCCTGACCTCTTAGGGTTAGCTGACAATAAGACATGAATTCCCAGTCTGAGATAATGTATTAAGGAAGGAATATAGAAATATAGAAATCAACTTCTTGACTATAAAACATAAACTGTAGCATTTTACCTATGTGAATTATACTCTTTTGAGTGAAAAATAGTCCTATTTCTCTTCTCTTTCCTGGTAGTTATCTCCACCACAGGGAACCAAGAAATAGTACAGAAATTTTCAAATTCTTTCTTCTGGAACTTTCAGAGGAACCAGAATTGCAACCCTTCTTATTTGGGTTATTCCTTTCCATGTACCTAATCACTTTCTGTGGATACCTGCTCATTCTCCTGGCCACCATCTCATAATCTTACCTTCACGTGCCCATGTACTTCTTCCCCTCCAACCTGATCTTCATAGACATCGATTTCACCTCCACCACCATCCCCAAGATGCTGGTAACCATCCAGACACAGAGCAAGGTCATCACCTATGCAGGCTGCATGACCCAGATGTTCTTTTTCATGCTATTTTCCAGATTGTATATTTTTCTGCTGACCATAATGGCCTATGACCAGTTTGTGGCCATCTGTCACCCCTACACTACATGGTTATGATGAACTACCAGCTCTATGAACTTCTTGTTCTGGTGTCCTGGATCCTGAGTGTCCTGACTTCTTTGTTACATAGCTTACAGGTGGTGTGGCTTTCATTCTGTACACACTTGAAAATCCACCACTTGTTCTGTGCATTTTGACAAGTGGTTCAAGTTGCCTGTCCTGACTCTTTTCTTGAAGACATGATGATGAATTTTACATCTTTATTGGTGGTGGGGAAGTGGAACCATTTCTGGGATCCTTTACTCTTAATCTAGGATAGTTTCCTCTATGTGTACAATCTCATGAGCTTAGGGGAGGTATAAAGCATTTTCCACCTGGGTCATCAGAAAAGGCATGATGCATTTTTCAGAAGATATCAGGAACTGTCTATGCACAAGTCAGTGTTTTACTCTTCAAAGCAAGCTAACAAACACAGGTATCTTAGAGTCCAGAGGGTATTTCAATTTTTGCAAAAGTGCTAACAAGATGACGGCTCTATAGATAGCAGAGCCTCCAGAGAAGGAATAATAAAGACTGCATTTACCTGACATCTATCTTGGTCCCTTGGGCACAGAGAATCAACAGGAAAATTTTCTTTTCTGGGCAGAATGTGTCCCACAGGGAAACCAGGTGCTCAGGGATTGTAGTAACAAGATGGAAATGGGCCAAGTAAGCAGATTTAGGGAGCTGTAAGGATATCTTTTGTCCTTGTTCACCAGAGTATGCAGCCTTGGGTTGGGTGAAAGATATTGATGACCTAAGTCTGGATGGGGTATTGATGTTCCTGAAGACCTTCCTGCTGTCTTCTCTGGGAACTGAACTTCGGTCTCCATCATCCACCATCCAGGGAGGAGTTTAGACCCAAACATGGAGACCTTCTTGTCAGAGACTTCATCCAGGTGAGTCTTAGAGCCTGTAAACAATGCAGAAAAGTTTCACAAAAAAATGGAATTTGAAGAAATGTTCCTGAAGTTATTTCAGAGATCAACCAACATTGCCCAGAAACAGATGTGTTTGTTTGGTTGATAAGATAATTTGTAATTAATTTATTTTCTTTGTTAAAATGTGAAGTTTGGGGACCAGTAGTTGGCATGATGGCTATGTCGTTGGATTCTCATGTAGGTGACCACGTCTTGAGTCCTGGACCGGTGGCTTGAACTAACGCTGGGCGTGTGTGCGTGTGCACCCGTGATATCGAGAGGAGAATGGAGGAGAAGAAATTGCTGCAAAAAAACTCTCAAAAAAAAAAAAAGTGAAGTTTTAGAGCCAGAAGGTGGCGTGGAGGTTAATTAAAACAGCTGGATTCCACACGAGCGACTGAGCATTTTGATTCCTAAATCTGGAGTGACCTCTGTATGTGTGTGTGTGTGTGTGTGTGTGTGTGTGTGTGTGTGCAAAATCCCAAGAGAATTGCAGTGTGTCCATACCCACTGGAGAGTGATTATTCACTCTGACCCCTCAGCCCATCTCTCTCAGGCAAGTGCACATGCCCTATAGCAAAACAAAACAAAAATGTCTTTTAATCTCTGCAATGCATGGGTCACTGTGAACAATTAAGTGATGAGCTTTTAAGTTTACCTGGATGAGACAGAACTGAGAAGAGAAACATAGTTCTACTCAAGTTAGAGCATACCATGGAGATTGACAATAAAGGGGAAGGAACTTTGAGTATTTGGTGTGGAAGGATGTGCACCGAGGTGTTGACATTTTTTTATTGAACTTTTAAGATGAGCTGTATTTGAACATGCTTCCATAGTCATTACAAAGATCAGAAAGAAATGCTTCCAAATAGTCCCTTGCCAAACAGTTCATGACAGAGACATTTCCCAGTATCTTCTCTCATATCAGATATTCAAAGATAAATAAATAAATAATAAGTTGAACTAAAGAATCACAGGAGAGAATTAAAGAGCTTTGCAATGCAACCATTTCTTTGGTGCTGACCGCTGAATTTATTTAGGCTTTTGTTAGTCTTTTTATTTTTGTGTGTATGCAAGTCATCTCTGCCAGTTAATTTTTTTCTTTCTTCCCCAGGGCTTGAAAAGCATGTCACCAGTGTTACCATCTGATAGAGCTGATGAGTCTCTCTTTATTCCAGTCTC